TTCCTGCCTCTGCAAACACTCAGGCTTGGAACTGTTGGAATATCCATGGTGTAGGTACATGCCTTGCAGTGCTGTCATGCCACTGATGTCCAGAGTGGAGAGGTGACAAAGGGCCATGGAAGGATGTTTCTACATGAGTATAAAGCTCTGCTATGGTTTGCATCCCCTGTCCTCCCCTCCCATAGCTGGCAAACACTTCCCACCCTCCTCTCAGTTCCTGGGCAACACTCCTTAAACTTCCTTAGCTGTTCAACAGCCCCAGGAAGGGCAGAGGTGACAATGTTGGCACTTTCAAGCTCCAACACAATTTATTTCACGTGTTTACTGCTGAAAAGCTTCTGGGTCATCATAAAGGAAAAAAAAACCTAGCCAAAAATTAAACCAAGACAATGCAGCTTTTCTTTAAGGCACCTTCTGCTGTCAGCACTGAGGGTCTTGTGCTAACACTGCTGTGGCAGTGCTAGAGATTCCTTCCAGGAACATCCTAGAATTGTGGGAATGCTGCACTGACAGCTGGACAAAGCTTACCCTGACCACATAGGACTTGACCACCTGCCCTGGCAAAGATGAGAAGCAAAGTGTGCAGCTAGGTGTTACACTGGAATTGTTCTAATGAACAAAGAGCAAATGTCAGGTATTTTCCTCAAAGAGGTTTGGTTGTCCATCTTCTCTTCAGATTCCAGGGGAACAGGTTCAAGCTGTGGTGACAGGTGCTCACCATGCTCCATTCTCATAGAGCTCCATGTCAAGGAGAAAGGGAATAACAGGTTCTTGTTTACTCAACCTCCAATCAGTCTCCCACAGGGAACTCATTTAGCTCCAAGGCCTGTAAAGTGATTTATGAACTTCTGCTTAGCATTTCCACAGCACTAAGGCAGTGTGAATAATTAGGGACAATGGATTTCGTGGGAGTGTCACTTACAATGTGTCAAATAACAAACCCTTTGTGGCTCACACTTGCTGCAGGTGCCTGGGTTGAAGGTTAGGAAATAGTTCTTCATGGAAAGGGTGGTCAGACAGTGGCACAGCTGACCAGTGCAGTGGTGGAGTCACCAGCCCCTGGAGGGATTTAAAACCCATGTGGATGTGGCACTTGGTTCCATGGTTTAGTGGTGAACATGGCAGTGCTGGATCCCACCTGGACTAATGCATACAGTGCTGGTGCCCCCAACATAAGAGCAGCTTGGCAAGTCCTACAGGGACATAAAGAATGCCAAGGCATTTAAAATAGTTTTAATCTTTGTTTCAAAGATAAAATATCACAAATGACCGTTTTGATCTTTCCTGTATTTTTATGTTTTGGCACATCCAGTGATCCACTCATATTTTGGCTGCTAAACAGTGCCTTTTGGGGCTGGAAACTAATCCTTTCTTTAATCTTCATGTTAACAGAGATCTGAATTGCAAATGTAGCCATAAATGGTTGGACCTGGTCCCATTATTGGGTTTACAAACATTAATGCAGGGATTTTTTTAATCTAAAGATTGAAGGATTTAAGGAAGGATTTATGTAGTTCTCTTGTTCTCCTGAATCTTTTGTTGCATTTCAAACATGCATTACACAGACAAGGGCAGAAGACATCAGAAACATACTGCAAAGTGGTATTACAAAGGCTGCATTTGAACTGGAAAGGCAGATTACTATGCTAATACCAGAAGGGAGGGGTGAAGAGTAGGCAAATATTTCAAATTCAACAGATTTGTTCTTGATAAGCACTATTATCACTAAAGATTAATTTAATCTGTAAATATCCTGTAGCAACGACTCATACACTCCAAAGTTTCCCAAATAGCTGGCAGTTTTGATGGCAGTATAGTCTGAAGATTAGAAATTCTGAGTGTTGAACAGTATGAGTGAAGTGGATAAAACCAAATAGACATTTCCTCCCTTCTCACATAAGCCTATGTCAATTTTGGTACCAGATGTGAACTAGAAATATTTGAAAGTTCTAAAGGCTCAGTATTTTGGTGTCCAGAGTGATTGTGGACTTCCCATCCCTAAAGATGATCAAGGCCAGGCTGGATGAGGCTCTGAGTCTAGTGGAAGGTGTCCCTGTCCATGGCAAAGGGGGTGGAACCAGATGGTCTTTAAGATCCCTCCAACCCAAATAATTCTGTGATTCTATCCTTCTATAACAGTTGGACTTGATAATCTTAGAGGGCTTTTCCAATTTCAATGATTCCATGAGTTTACATGGCTCACACTCCATTTCTGTGCATGTCATTGTAAAACTTCAGTAACAGCAAGGCCTGGGCACTGGGCTGAGAAACCTCTCCGGTAAATAATGAAAGTCTTCTGAAGACCCACAGGGCAGCAACGACATGGACACCCCAACTCCTCTCCTCAGAGCCCCCAAGGAGAGATGTACCACTCACCCTCGGGGGTGCTTGTCCAGCTCATGGAGAACCGTGTGGTCGCAGTACTCGAAGACCAAATGCAGCTTCCTCTTCCTCCTGAACACTTCCAGCAGGTTCACCAGGTTGGGGTGTTTAAGTTGCTGTAACACACAGGGGATGCACTGGTCAGTTACTGCAGGGGACAGAGCTTTTGCCTGCAGGCTCTCATCATCATAGTATCATAGTATGTGAAGGGGTTGGAATGGAGCTTAGAGATGATCCAGCCCCAACCTCTGCCCTGGGCAGGGACACCTCCCACCAGAGCAGGTTGCTCAAGGCTCATCCAACCTGGCTGTGAACACTGCCAGGG